TTGGAGAGAATAATAAACACACAGAGATACGTCTTAGAGTCAATTACTATAAGCTGATATGGAATCAAAGAAAAACTACATCAAGAAGTCACTGAATGTACAGAACTCTTAAGCTACATTATATATTAAAACGAAGTGTTAAAACTGATCCAAAAACTTAAATCCACTAAGCACACTCATACCACAGGTTTACCTAGTTTATGGGAAACGCATGTGAAAAAGCTATACATGAATTTCAAAAATCTCATATTAAACTTATTTTTGATTCAATTTCTATGCACTTTCTGAAGGAATTCCATGTATGTGGGTCAACATACATGGTCAACAGAGGTAATAGTGAAAAAGTTCATTATAATTGAGGCTCTAGATTATGAGCCTCATCTGAGGTATAGCTTTACTTGTGGTAAATTATACTGAGGATTGAGAGGAACATTCATGATTATACCTGGCTGTCTGTGCATCCTGCCTTTACCTGAACCAGGAAGAGCCACTGGGTTTTCATTAGCAGGAAGTTGTAAAAGGAAAACTGTGCCTCACCCATGATCTTAAACTAGTAACCTGAAGGAGGCTAAGCACTGTAAGCTCAAAGACCAGGTTGGCAAACCAATAGTAAGAGAAAGGATAATGTCATGGTGTCTTTTTAATGATGTGAGCAACAGCTATATGTCTGGCCCAAATTCTCAGTGGAGATAGACACCGTTTTGGGCCATCCATAGTGCACTGCCAATTCTCTTCATAGAATCATCGTGAGTGTAAGTAGGGGACATCTTTACTGAGTATTTTCTTCCTCTAGCTCTGGTGTTCACACCCATTCCAATGGGAAGAAACCCCAGTTCCACTTGTAATGATCATTGTACCTCTATTTCCAGAAAGCTGCTTTCGATCAAAATTAGGTTTTAGGTGATAGATATCAGGAATCCCCATGCTTTCAAACCATTTCCTACCTTCAAAGACTGAACACGAATTTTTTTTTTTAATTTATTAGGGGGGTGGGAAGAGAGGAAGAACACACAAGCCAACAAGCCAGTGGGAACAGGTTGTATAGTGTTATTATCTGCTAGTTCATTCCCCAAATGCCTATAAAGGTGCAATGGCCAAGACTGCACAAGGACCAAGATCTGGTGTTGCAATCCAGGACTGGCTGTACGATTGCAGATGGTAGGAACTACCATTACCTGAGCCTTCACCACTGCTTCCAGAGTCTGCATTACCAGGAAGCTGGAATCAGGTGTTGAAGCCGAGACTCAGCTTAACTACTAGGACAAATCCCACCGCCCCTCCCCGGCCCCAGAAGCTGGTTATTAATTTCCAAGCCAGTGTTTATATAACTTCATTCTGAAGCCAAAAGGAAAAAGAACTTCTCGTTTCTTCTTGCCTCTGGACACCACTGCTACTTCTTTCCTCAACTCCTTTGCTGGAGACCAGGTAGAAAAGGTCACAGCAACCTTGTGAGGAGTGCAGTGGAACTAAGCTGCTGATGTGCATACTCATATTTTGAAATGATACTTTATGTGCACTCTTCCATTTGATGAGGAAGGTGATTTATTTGGTTTTGACCTTGTATTCAGAAGAAAATATACTGGAAGTTAAAGCACATCAGAAAACAAATTCATACATTTGGCTCTGGGGTCATTTTTAAATAAAAAATTGAGATCTCTAGCCATATCTTACAGTTATTGCTTATAATTCTTTTTTTTTTTTTTTTTTTGACAGGCAGAGTGGACAGTGAGAGAGAGAGACAGAGAGAAAGGACTTCCTTTGCCGTTGGTTCACCCTCCAATGGCCGCCACGGCTGGAGCGCTGCGGCCAGCGCACCGCGCTGATCCGATGGCAGGAGCCAGGTGCTTCTCCTGGTCTCCCATAAGGTGCAGGGCCCAAGGACTTGGGCCATCCTCCACTGCACTCCCGGGCCACAGCAGTGGGCTGGCCTGGAAGAGGGGCAACCGGGACAGAATCCGGCGCCCCAACCGGGGCTAGAACCTGGTGTGCCGGTGCCACAAGGCAGAGGATTAGCCTAGTGAGCCGCGGCGCTGGCCTGCTTATAATTCTAACATTTTAAAAGTTAAGCATAGGACTGGCGCCGTGGCCCACTTGGTTAATCCTCCACTTGCGGCACCAGCATCCCATATGGGCGCCGGGTTCTAGTTCCAGTTGCTCCTCTTGCAGTCCAGCTCTCTGCTGTGGCCCAGAAGGGCAGAGGAGGATGGCCCAAGTGCCTGGGCCCCTGCACCTGCATGGGAGACCAGGAGGAGGCAGCTGGCTCCTGGCTTCAGATCAGCGCAGCGCTGGCTATAGCGGCCATTTGGGGGAGTGAACCAACGGAAGAAAGACCTTTCTCTCTGTCTCTCACTGTCTATAATTCTACCTGTCAAATAAAAAAAGTTAAGCATAAAAATCAAATTAGAAAAGGTAACGGAGTGACCATGCTTGTAAAATTAAAGATACAATTTTGGAAGTACATCCTATAGCTTTAGCTTCCTTGTTGCAAAACTTCCCTTTCCTTTAAGATTTTCTTGAATTTTAAACTGTTAGAATATGTTGAATACCAAGGTCAATGTGCTGTGAATAAAACATTTACCAGCTTTAGAAAGGTATATACACTATCTCCCAGGACTGGAGCTTATGAATGACTGATGTACTAATTGGCAGGCTGCTTCAGAAATCAGTCAACAGAGCAGACTAAGTATGGAAGAGCTGAAATGTAACCACATTACATGCAGGGTTCTCTATCTTGGTCCCCACCACACTTGAAAGCATTTTCATGGCTAATTACTCCTGAGAGGATTATCCAGAACAGAGAAATATGTCATTGAGCTATTTATTCAGAGTTTATCCTAAAAACAAGCACAAGTAATTTAATAAGAAAATGATCCAGATGCATGCTAGCAAGCATCTAACACAGTTCTTACAAGTCTTGAAAATGAATGAACGCAACAGTTTTGTATTTCACCAAGCATTACTAGCATTTTATTCAAAGAACAGTTTAAGAATTCAAAGTGTTTTAAATTAACTTTCATATTTAGAACATGGTCATCTTTGTTCGAACATTTTCAAGCTCCACAATAAACCATAATCTTTGCGACCAATTAAAATAGCTTCATAAAGTTTGAAAAAACTATGACTTTTACTCAAATATATTAATCTTAGTGAAAATCAGATTGAGCTGGTATTTGATATGTAACAGAGGAATATAATTTGTTTTTATATTAGCTCTAGTCTTGACCTAAGTATTTACAAATCAATACTAATTTTATATTTAATAGTATCCATAAATGTCTTTATATAAGAAGTTTAATTTTTGTGCTGTTGTTACAAATGCATTTTTAAGTACATGGAGAATTTTCAAAGGGCAGAAGAGAATTTAAAGGTGTTATTTACATAAGTTTAACAGTCCCTAAAGGGAGAAATCTTAAAGGAATTTCAAACATTTGCTTCATTCAAGACCTGGTGAGCTAAAGAATCAAGCTTTCTGCTAAGAATTAGGTATCTGAATTCTGTTCAGTAGGAGTATAATCACCAGATGCTCTTTAGGGTACCATACCCTGATTCCCAATTAGCTTTCTCCCCCAACTCCAGATAGATAGAGCCAGTTCTGTCCAAACCAGTGGTTAAAGGAGAGCTGTAGAATACGAAAATCAGGGTAGCTTTTAGATACATTCTGTCCAGAGCATACTCCTAACCTAACAGATCAGAATCTTGGCAAGTGCTTGGTGAGTAGAGGGAGAAGAGGGAGGGTCTTATCAAGACAAAGGTACTTCAGTAATTCACAGGAAAATGGAATTAAAATGTTTATTCGGGTATTAATACTTTTAAATCCACGGTTTTTATGTTTTCTATGAATTTTTTGAAGACCTGCTATTAAGTCAATCTCAGATGATTCCCATGTGTGGCCAAAGCTCAGAGTCACAGCCCTAGACAATCCAGTTCTTTTATTTCTTCTGTTCAAGTTGTATCTCAGGGTAAAGCCACTGTCTGCAGTGCAGGCATCCCATATGGGCGCCGGTTCTAGTCTCGAGAGCTCTACATCTCATCCAGCTCTCTGCTATGGCCTGGGAAAGCAGTAGAAGATGGCCCAAGTCCTTGGGCCCCTCTACCTGCATGGGAGACCTAGAAAAAGCTCCTAGCTCTGGGTCAGTGCAGCTCCGGCTACTGCGGCCAGTTGGGGAGTGGACTAGCAGATGGAAGATCTCTCTATCAGCCTCTCCTTCTCTCTGCAACTTTTAAATAAATAATCTTTTAAAAAATTTTATCTCCCACAGACCCCATAACCTGCTTCATTTTCTGCATTCACACACTCCTACCAGTTTTCATCAGAATGCTGATTTTGTACACATCTTCAGGATATGTATGGGACAGGCCTGGCTGATGCTTGCCCATTAGGTGTCTAAGAAAAGCTGATCTATTTACGGCTGTTTTCTTTGATCAGTTGTAATAAGCTGGTAACTTGTCTTCGATTTTTCATCCCTGCCTTCGCTAACCATTCCCTACAGAGCACTAGAGTAATATTTAATATGCAAATAGCAACAGGTCATCTCTTTATTGAAAACCGTTCAGTGACTTCTCAAAAGATCAATTCAACCCGGGGCTGGCACTGTGGCACAGCGGGGGTAAAGCTGCCACCTGCAGCGCCGGCATCCCATATGGGCACCACTTCAAGTCCCAGCTGCTCCACTTCTGATCCTGCTCTCTGCTATGGCCTAGAGAAGCCCCTGCAACCGGCATGGGAAGACCTGGAAGAAGCTTCTGGCTCTGGATCAGCGCAGCTCCAGCTGTTGCTATCAAATGAGGAGTGAACCACTGGATGGAAGATCTTCTGCCTCTCCTCTTTCAAATATACCAATCAATCTTAAAAAAATCAATTCAACCCAACCCGTATCTGTGATACTTTCTCTGGCCTATTGGCAAAATTTCTCTCAAATGCAGTTATTCCATATGTAAACACCTCATTGTCTTCATTGTACTTATCTGTATGTCAATATTTCTTTCTCATTTGCTTTCAGTGTCACCAACAGAATTTCAAGTAACTGATCTCACCGTGTAAGCCTAATATTCTGGATTTTGCATGCCCGTAGTAGCTACTTTGATCTTGGCTGAAAGAAAAATCACCTTGATCTTAGACTTCTCCATGCTAGGCCATAGCTGTGTAGTTGTAGCCCCCAGGGCATGCTTTGCACTATCGTAACCATAGTTACCTGTTGGTCACTTGAGAATAATTTTTTTAACTTCTGCTTCCTATCCATTTGTGCAAAATAGAAACTGTATTTGTAAGCCAAATCCCTGAAGTTTTCTTGAGAATCTCATTTCCTGGAGACTGTCCTCGGGCCCTTTTATTTTTGACCTCTAACATTTCTAGGACCTGTGAAGAATTTCTTAGGCAGATTAGTTTCTATTAACGTGGATAATTGAGAGTTAACATGGCACTATTTTCTTTCCATGTTAGCAAGTTACTTCCTTTAAACAATTTATTAAAACGTACAGATTTGGAAGTACTCAAATTCCTTAAGTTAGCCATGTTTAATTCAAGAAGTTAATATTTCCAAGGATGGATTCCTGACTAGATGGAGATATTTATATATCACCTAAAATACTTATCAATGCATAATACATACAAAAAGTCTTCAAAAAGCAGAATATATACATTATGCAATCAAGGTATGCATGGATTTTGGAAATTTTTGTACCAAAGTAAACTGATCTTTTATTTTCCATGACTGATTTGAAGTGCCCTCAGATTCCTCAGAATACTCACCAATGCATTTTATACAGATATAGAGTAAGAATGTTTAATCTCCCTCTGGGCTATCAGTGGCAGTTAACATATGGGCATGAGTGTGCAAACTGGGTTTAGGATAGCATGCCCTCCACTTGTATTTCAAGAATAACCCTTTTTGGTATAGTTTACCAAGATTCCATCAGAAATATGGAGCCCGAACTGCAGCCCCTCCTTTCTATTGGTACAAAATAGGGCTTGTCTATATCCAATAGCTGTGTCCCAGTTAGACTAAACAAATATTTTGGTAACCACAGCATTCAATTGCCTATTTATGTAACATTGAGAAATCCAACTTTGATATAGTACATTTTCAAAGGACCGACATGGGATTGTCAGTTTTCTCCATCCTCCTATAACAGTGCTCAAAGAATTCTAGACCATTAAACTTGTACTGAACTGCCTCTTTTTTTCTATCTGCTTAGTCTTCACTGGTGCAATTTAGACAAATAAATATGAAATCATGTATCTTGAGGAAGCATGTGGCATAGGATAAGCTGCCGTCTGAGATGGCAGCACTCCATGTGGGCACTGGTTTGAGACTTGGATGCTTCACTTCCAATCCAGATCCCTGACAATGCTCCAGGGAAAGCCGAAGATGGCCCAAGTGCTTGAATCTTTGCAGTCCACTGGGGAGACCAGCAGGCAGTTCTTGATTCCTGGCTTCTCCATGGCCTGGCCCCACCCATTGCAGCCATTTACCATAGAAGTCTTTAAAATTGTGTACCTTGTCATAGTATACTGAATATTCCATGAGATAATTCCATTCCAGGTGTTTAGTCTTGAAAATGAAATGTATAGCTTCTTCAAGAGTTGGATTTTATTTTTTATACACAGCTACAGGAAAGTCTTTTGCATCTTTATAAAGAGGGACAATGCAGCAGAAGGTGGCTAAGTGTCCTTCATTTTAATGTGGGATGCTGACACTGCAGGCGGCAGCTTTACCTGCTACACCACAGCTCTGCACCCATTTTAACAGTTTTGAAAGAGGAATATCAAGAGGACAAATCAGTTTTGAAGACTTAGCCAATTTATTTTCAATAGTTTTAAAATATGGTACAATAGAACACCATGAATTGCCTTCAAATGTAAATGGTGGGGCCAGCAATGTGGCATAATGGGTAATGCCACAACCTGCAACACCAGGACCCCACATTGGTACAGTTTACTATCATGGCTGCTCCAGTTCCTGGCTAACGCCTGGGTAGAGCGCAGATGGCCCAAGTGTTAGGAACCCTGCCACACATGTGAAAGATGCAGTTGAAGCTCCTGGCTTGAACCTGGCACAGCTCCAGCTGTTGCAGCCATCTGGAGAGCAAACCAGCTGATGGAAGATCTTTCTCTCCCTCTCTAACCAATTTTCAAATAAGTAAATCTTAAAAACCTGCAAATGGTAAGAAAGGAAATTATGGACAATCTAAAAGATGGCAGTTTATCTAATGTAGATATTGCAATATTACGACCAAAAGTGATAAGTTTAAACCAAAATAAAAATACACGCAAACCACATACCTAAGAGGAAAATATTTACCTTAAGCTGATAATCAAAAAAATGTAAATTAATATGGCCATATGTTCTCATTTCAAATGTCATACTGAGGAAAAACAACTCTTTAATATTACTACTCAGTCCTGGCAGAGGTAGAGAAATTCTTGTTCACTTCCAGTGAATGAACGCAAGGTACAAACTTTCTGGAGGGCAACAACATAGCAATATGTTTAACAAAGCTAAATTTAATATTCCTTAGGCCAGTTCCACGGTGTGTTTTATTCTATAGCAACATACAGGTATTTTCAAAAGGGTTTGTGCAAAAATGTTCACTAAGGCTCTATTAATATTTCTGAACATAAATATTCAGAAATAGTTATTCTCCCTATGAAATAAAAGCTTTAGAATATAATCCAAATTTAAATATATACTTCCTTAATAATGTTGGGAATCACATAAGACTAAATAAAATTGGAGGCCAGCTTAAGCCACTATCTGTAGCACTGGCATCCCGTTTAGGCACTGGTTTCAGTCTCAGCTGCTCCACTTCAGATCCAGCTCCAAGCTAATGCATTATATCTTTGTGATACTTTCCATATTTTTTCATTTTTATAATAACCATTCTAACTTGAGCAAAATGTTATCTCACTGCAGTTTTGATTTCCATGCCCCTAGTAGAGGTTTCTCAAAACTTGAAAATCAAACTACCATAGAATCCAGCAATTCCACTGCTAGGTATTACCCAAAAGAAATGAAACCAGGCCGTCAAGAAATATTTGCGCCATTTATTGCATTGCTATTCACAGCAGCCAAAATTTAAAAACAACCTAAGTGTCCAAAAACAGATGAATATATTATAACTCAATGGAAAATAATGTAGCCAGATAAAGTGATGACGTTTTTAAATTCAACAAACATGCCTGAATCTAAAAGATGTTTATTAAATGGAATAATCTAGACACAGAAGGACAGATACCACCTCACTCATGGATGAGCTGCAGAAGTTGAATGAAGACAGAGCACAATAGTAGTTATCAGAGACTGAAAAGTTGTAGAAAGGAGGGACTAGAGAGGGGCTGGTCAATTAGCGCAGAGTTGTATTAGATACTAGGATGAGTTCTGGAATTCTATTGCACACTCGCATGACTATAGTTAATAGTAAAGTACTGTGTTTCAATAAAGCATTAACCATAGAAGCACGTTTTACTTCCACACAGCCAGAAGCAAATCTGAATGTTTTGCTACGATAACATAAAATGTTTGAGGTGATATGTATACTTGTCCTAATTACTTTTGTTTTACATTATTGTGTGCTCCACTAATCTGTAAAACTACCATGTCTATTACAAAACAATAATATATACTTAATGATTAATCTAAAAATACATGGAATTCATATCAAGAGGCATATAGTTTGCACAGACAATAGACATAAGTAGAATTGTTGACATTTAAAAAATTACTTATGATTTTAGTTCATCATGACTTGTTTTGCTGATAATAGGAACCAACAGCTGTTCATCAATATATTATATATCCTTTTTACTGGAATCTTCAGGGTTATTAATGCCTTCATAAATGTCAAGTGTTTTAATCAGTATGTTGATATTTGAAAACAAGTTTAGATGAATTATTAAACTGTGGCTATTAAAGTATGTTCCTTTTACCTAACAACCCAACCAGGTAGCTCTTCCCAATGTAAGAGTCCTTGACTTTAATGAGATCAGATTGCATTGTGCTAGTCAAATCATTCAATTGAAAAATGTGTTGAATACAACAGGAATTTAGTTTAATTTCTCAAAAGAATCAATCTAGGACTTTATTATAATATGGTTTAAATTTGTTTAATTTAACCATGTTGAGATGGACAGTTCTAGGCTTAAGATGCTTTATTGATTCTTAAATCATGAATATGTATTTCCCCAAGTGAAATATACATATATATAAATATATACATATATGATGTATATTAAAATATCTCTACACATACATGAAAGACATACACATTCTTTTCTAAGTATGGACAGGAAAGGTGTTCTTTTGCTTTTTGAAATTTTTTTAAATGCTTCTAAATGTTTAGATATTTTCCAGGCCTGATGTTATGAATGCAAATCTTAAGATTCCAGCTGGATTAACATTCACACTGAGTAAATGATAGTTGAAAATGATTACCAGGAGAAATTTTAAGGAAATATCTACTTAATCAAATCTCTGGAAACTTATGTTTTATCAATTTAAAATCAAGTCACTTAAGAATCATTGGCGATTTCATAGAACCTTTCACAGTGACCTGGAACCTCACTACTCAGTATGTTCCTCCAGCAGCAACTTTAGCAGCACTTGGGAGCTTGTGAGATGCATCCCAGGTATTATTCAAACACTCCAAATTTCCTAATTCAAGAGAATCACATACTCACTGAAGTTGGAATAATAGTAAATATGATGTAACAATGATAAAACATCAATGTTATACAAGTTCTGCGTAGTTATTAGTGGAGGAATAATCTTTTATTCTAGTTCAGGTATCCCTTTCAAAAGTTCCACATAGGGGCTGGCACCGTGGCTCACTTGGATAATCCTCCACCTCCTCCCATCCCATATGGGCGCTGGTTCGAGTCCTGGCTGCTCCTCTTTCGATCCAGCTCTCTGCTATGACCTGGGAAAGCAGTAGAAGATGGCCCGAGTCCTTGGGCCCCTGCACCTGCATGGGAGACCTGGAAGAAGCACCTGGCTCCTGGCTTCGGATCTGCGCAGCCCGCTGGCCATGGCAGCCATCTGGGGAGTGAACCAACAGAAGGAAGGCTTCTGTCTCTCTCTCTCTCTATGACTCTGTCAAATTAAAAAATAAAGTTCCACATAGCCTATTAATTTCTTAATTGAGTGATTTCCAAGTCTTTGAAATATACATACCATTAATATGTGAATTCCAATGTCTTAGGAAACACCCAAATATGACAAATTTGAGCAGGTTTAACATTGTTTAGAGGAGATAAAAAAACGAATTACAGACATAAGTTATATGAATTCAACAACTACATTTTAAGTATACCAGGCAGAAATTCAAGTTTATCATTAACACACAGATGGTCATTGGGATTTTTTTCCAAGATTTATTTATTTGAAAGTCAGAGTTACATGGAGAGAGTAGCTC